CTGTCACGGCAGAGAGCTGTGACAGGATCGAGAGGTGAGCGAACGGCGGTTAGTGTTTGCTCACCTCCCGATCTACTGAGCCGACCTGTGACAGTCTCATTGTCACAGGTCGGCTAGGACTATGAGGTGAGTGAAAAGCACTCACCTCATAGTTCTCCTTTAAGCTGATCCTCAGTAAAACTTTACAATTGTTGCAAACTGTTTCACATGAAGAGTTCAAGAAAAACAAATAAAAACAAATGTTTTTCATCTTCAGTAATTATTACATAGCTAGTTCACCCAAAATACAATAGCTACAAACGTCAGCATCGGTTCGGCATTGTATTTTAAACATATGTTGCTTATAGAATTTCACACCCTAAAAATATGCCTCAAACCAACATAAATTCACACTTACGACTTTTTAAGAATACGAGGGAAATAAAGAACAAAGAAGGCCAGTGGCTGTTTCTAAAGTCATTTTGAAACAACGGCTTCTTTTATTTAGTTTTTTCCTGTTTACTGTACCGTTATCTGTACTTGTAGATTTGGTAACTTTCAGCCTTATTTGCTGTGCTTATGAGGAGAAAGGGGGGAAGGGCCTAGAAAGAAAGGGTGTGTCCCTGTGATAGATTGCTCATTCCAGCCTATAAGTGTTCTATAATGGTGCTATAAAAACCAACCCAAGGATATCAGCATAAAAAAACATCTCTTGCCTGACATCGAGGGGTGCCCCTATAAACAATTTGCATAGCCATTTGCCCTGCGAACATTCGTTCATTCACATTAATTCTGTGCGAATGGAGGCAGAAAACAAATGTTCGTAATATATTTTCATTTCGGGTCGAATGTAACATTCGGAAAATGCTGCATTATGGCCACGAGATGGAGTTGGGGAGCATAGGAAGTGAGCATTTTCCTATGCTCCTCCATTCCAGTGACCATAATGTTGTATTTTGCAATTATTGCATTCTAAAGAAGAACTGGAGCCATTTGTTTTAGCTTAGGATAGACTAAGGGATGGCTGTAACCCCTGTAAGATGTTTTTTATCCCAATGGGGAGATTTACTTTCACTTCATGTCCAATAGCCAATAGAGGGGGAGGGAATCCCTGGTGGGCATTAGAATTAGTGTCCCTATTGGATGTTATTCCTGAAGATCTATTCCTGTTCTGATGACCACCCGAAATCACCACAGTCACCAGGACACATAGAGAGGTTGAATCTCTCTGGGGGACACAGACAGCAATAGAACCTGACAGGTGTTCTAATCCCTCTACACTTCCGGCACTCTGCTCAGCTCCTGCCAACCAGTGACGTCAGTGGTTGCCACAAACTGCGCTGGATGCCAGCCAGATGACACAGGTTGCTAAGAGCTCTTGGAAGGGACAAGGCACATGGATCGCCTGCCTAGAGACCATTAAAAGGCAGTGTTTGTTGGGAAGAGCTCCAAGCAATCTGGGACACTCTGTACAATACGGTTGGGGGATGCAGGATCCGGCACTCTGCACAGCTCCTGCCAACCAGTGACGTCAGTGGTTGCCACAAACTGCGTTGGACGCTGGCCAGAGCGACACAGGTTGCTAAGAGCTCTTGGAAGGGACAAGGCACATGGATCGCCTGCCTAGAGACCATTAAAAGGCGGTCTTTGTTGGGAAGAGCTCTTAGCAATCTAGGACATCTGGCCAGAAAGGGGGCAGCGGGTGTGCCACGCGACCCAATTATACAGTCCGAGTACCCTTCGCACTCAGAGCCGCTGCTCCATCAATAGGAGGTGGGTTCAGCAGGTGTCAACAGGTGGCTTCTGTCAAAATGTCGGTAAAGGATGGACGCTGGCACTCCAAGGCAAGTTCAGTACGTATTTATTCACGTACTAGTTGCAAATAGAACACTATATACAACGTTTCAGGGACTCAAGGGATCTCCTTCATCAGGCAAACAAATGATATATAGTGTTCTATTTGCAACTAGTACGTGAATAAATACGTACTGGACTTGCCTTAGAGTACCAGCGTCCATCCTTTAGCGTGACCCAATGAGACGCTGTCTAAGGCAACTGCCTCAGGATGCCTGATTATACGGATGGCCTTAGTTTTAGCTTCAGTTGCACGTTAAAAAAACAGGAGCTCTAAAATCACTAAAGCCAATTACCATGTTTTTGAAACTTCATTTGCAACATGGTGCAGTCCAATACGTATCGTGTGTAGCTACTAAGTAATTTTTTTATTTTTTTTCATTTTATTTTTAATCTTGAAAGAAGTTTAGACTAAAGTATGATTCCTTGTTCTCACAGCAGCGGCGGCCATTAAAATACCTCCAGTTGTTACGGTTGGCGGAGAGAACGGTTAGCGAGGAATTATACAGCGGCAATGACAATAATGTACAAAGACAACAAATAAGCATCACAAGTATGTAACAATACCTTTGGGAGGGAATATTTTGGTAGTTTAATCTGTGCGAAAGCCTCGCGTTTGTAGGAGACATAATAGCTCGCTCTGCCACCGGACGTCGCCTGAAAGAAAAGAAAAAAATGGAAAATGGTCAAATAAAGAATCAAAATGAATCATAAAAAAAAAAAAAAAAACATTTTTTCATTAAAATGTAATAAAAAGTACAGCGAGATCCGTGATTACAAAAAAAGAACTGATGGGAAGAGCAATATGCAATGAAGTAGTGCGCGTCCTTGTTAGGTTGAGGTCACCCAGGGGAAAGTCTGTGTGATACAGAGACGAGGGTATGTGCACTGCCAATGCTTTGGACTACTGATGCACTGATACCGGTATCATATTGGTGCTGATACTGGGCATTTTCAGGTGTACTCGTAGTCCTGAAAATGCCCCGATACCCAAAAAAGATACCAGCGCTTTACATTTTTGCATTGAAGAAGCTGCCGTAAGGTCCTGCGCTTGCTGAGAACCTTGTGGCAGGCTACCTGGGAACCACTCAGCACCTGTGACATACAGCGCCTTTTACATCTTCTCGTGCTGAGACCCTCCGCACCCCTCCTGAGACCCTCACCACCCCTCCTGAGGCACTCCACCCCAGACATCAGGCCGGCACCCTGGAACAGAGCGGCAGCACAGACTATGTAGACAATTTATATACTATTTTTCTGCATTGCTGTATAATGTATTGCTGGGATTTGTAGTTCCCTATAGCTGATGGTATTATTCTGCATTGCTGTATAATGTATTGCTGGGATTTGTAGTTCCCTATAGCTGATGGTATTATTCTGCATTGCTGTATAATGTATTGCTGAGATCTGTAGTAGACATGTGCACTGCCAAAACATTTGTTTAGTTTCGTTTCGATTCGGATTTTGTGTTACTTAGTTTTTCAGGATTCGGGTGTGAAAGTCAATTTGGATTCGGACAAAATTCGTTAGCGGTAGTTCATTTCGTTTCGTTTTAGTTTCTTATTCGTTTCGTTCATTCGTTCGTTCGTTTGCAGCAAAGTGACATTAGAGGGGGAAAAATGTTTTTTTCCTTCTCTAATGTCACTTTGCTCCAACGAACAAACAAACGAATAAGAAACGAAAACGAAACGAACGTTCGAACGAACTACCGCTAACGAATTTCGGAAACGGAAAAATATAAATTTGTTATATCTGTAATTCGGAATTTGGATGCATCCGAATGTCCGAATTTCCAAAAATTCGTACGAATTTCGATTCGGAACGAAACGAATTGCACATATCTAATCTGTAGTCCTCTATAGCTGACGATATTATTCTACATTGCTGTATAATGTACTGCTGGGATTTGTAGTTCTCTATAGCAGATAGTATTATTCTGCATTGCTGTATAATGTATTGCTGGCATTTGTAGTTCTCTATAGCAGATAGTATTATTCTGCATTGCTGTATAATGTATTGCTGGGATTTGTAGTTCTCTATAGCAGATGGTATTATTCTGCATTGCTGTATAATGTATTGCTGGGATTTGTAGTCCTCTATAGCTGATGGTATTATTCTGCATTGCTGGAATTTGTAGTCCTCTATAGCTGATGTCATTATTCTGCATTGCTGTATAATTGTTTCCTATGTGTCCCGTTCATGCCACAATGCTGGTCACTGCACCACAGCTATGCACACTGCACTGCTGTGCGAAGACCTGAATGGAGTGTACACTTTGCACTCAAATACATTTACACTCTCAATAAAGATACAAAAACAGAAAAATTAAACAGTGTGATGCGCTGAAACAGAGTATCACACCGTCACCTGCACGCACGCTACAACTCAACATTTTAGCATGTGGCCTACAGAGAATGAGCCCTTACAGTCTGCATAGAGAGCAGCCACATCCTGAGTAGAAACACCTGATGCCTGCCAGATGTTGCAGAAAAGCGTTTCTATTTAAAAGCAGAGGTCTCTCTGCAGAGATCTGACATACACCCTGCTGTATCATAGCTATATCCTACCAGCAGGGAGCATGAGCTTTGCTAATTGCAGACTGCATATTTGACTCACTGCCAGACCTCTGCAGAAAGACCACTGCTTTCACACAGATAGCAAGGTAAGCAAAGTGAGCATGAGCATGAGTTCTGCTTATTGCAGACTTCAGGTCTGACTCACTGCAAACCTCTACAGAGAGACCACTGATTCCACACAGATAGTAAAGTAAGTAAATCGGCAATGCAGGTTGCTGGAATATATAAATATTTTTTCCAATATAGTCATAACATATGAATCCGGCCATAAGAAGCACACATAGGAACCTCTAAAAAGAGTTATAGGAGATTTTGAGCTCACCAAAA